AACGTTCTAGAGGATTTGACCTAGCAGCAAGGTATTAAACGGCGCTGCTGAATGTCCCCACTGCTGCTTCCAAGCTGAGAGGCCGCTTGTTCCTGCAGGAGCTGGAAGGCACCGCCGTCGACTTGGGGGAGATTCGCAAACAAACCTTGCAGAGCCCGGGTGTGAACCGCAGCCTGCTTCTCATCACGCTGGAGCGGTGCTTCCAGCTGCTCGGCTCCCTGGAGTGTGTGGACGTCCTGGGCAAGGTGCTCAGGGGGTCCTCGGCCAGCCTCCTGCAGCCGGACATCACGGACAGGCTCCCCGGGGACCTGGGCGAGGATGCCTTCAAGAACCTGTGGGTGACTCTTCCCATCGCTCTTCACCCCACACACCATCCCTGGGGGGCTATCGTGAGGGTTCAAGGAGGGACTGCGTGGCGATGGGGAGGCTGGTGGGGACAGGTCTGGGACGGAAGCTTAAAGTTCGCACAGTTTAGAGGTGGTTTGACTAAAACAATGTCTCCCAAATTTCATTCACGCTGGTACCATCCTCACAAGTTTTGCTCTATTTAGACACCACCTGTGCTATTTACGTACTCCCTGCTTCTCTTTATAGCTGCTCATTCTTTTTTACTCAATATTTATTTAAAAAGCAAATTTGATATCATAACCGGAAATGGGAGACCAGTATCATATGTCTTACGTAGTCATAGAAATAAATACAATAATTACAAAAGCCAGCGTCACTAAATCCTGGCTAGACGTGCGGCTTTTCCGAGGCTCTGAGCCTGGGATCTGTTCTCTGCTAACGAAAGAGCAGAGTGTTGAAGACCCACTAAGCACCGACTGAGACTTTCTCCTTGAAAAGGCGGCGAGATTGACGGAGCTCCAAAAAGGGAGTACTTCTCTCCTCTGGGGACGCTGTGCCAGTCACTATGTGTCAGCACCTAGTCCTCTGTGAAATTAAATGGCGGGGGGGGGGGACCAAATTAGGGGATTGTGTCCAGGACTTGAAAGACCACTGCTGGCTCCCTGCTTTTACTAATTATATTACTTTATGGCCGTAAAAGGCCCTTTCTCAATCTGAAGATGATTTAGAAGAAAAAGACCAGTGACAACAGAAACTTGAAAGTATTTTTTTTTTTTGGTCTGTTTGTTTGTTTTGCAGCCAAGGGACTGTTGTTGGGGAAACACAATATATTGACCCTATTCTGGCTCCAGGGTGTCCATTTTTTTGGCCAGGACCTATATCACGTGAAACCCCTCTCTTCTGTATGCCATTACCCAATCCCTCTCTGCTCGGCCTCTCCCGCCCCCTGCTCACCCAGGCTGTGTGTGGGTGGTGGAATTTATGGGCCACTGGTCATATGATCGTGAGGGTCAGGAAAGCCGTCCAAACTTGTTTGAAATCCTAATTTCAGAAAGAGACTCACGGGATCATGTAATTGAATAGTTTTAGGTGCTGCACTGGCTTCAGGTACGGCTAGATCCAGGAGTTCGGATTACACAATCAGGAACCTCTTGGCTTGTTCTCGAGAGCTCAGCTCTGCCGGGCCCTGGCTGGCCTGGCGCCCAGGCAGGCTCTGCCCCGGGAGGGACCACTGGCAGTTCCCGGCCCATCTCAGAGCGCCCAGTCCAAGGAAGCAGAGTCTGTCTTTCCAACAGGTCCAAGCAAAGTTCTGGGCCTGATTCTCATTGGCCCAGACTGGGTCACGTGCTCGTCCTTGAGCCAATCGGATCTAATGGCTTAGACGTCCATCACAACCCCACCCAGACGACCTGGACCGAGAATGGGAGAACTGTTTCTCCAACATCTTTGAGCCAATCGGATCTAATGGCTTAGCCGTCCATCACAACCCCACCCAGACCTGGACCGAGAATGGGAGAACTGTTTCTCCAAGACAAAGTGAGGTGCTGCTATGAGAAAAGAGGGAATGGATGCTGGGCGGTCAGAACCACGGATGGCCAGCACGAGAACTTTATGGGGACCCCAAAGGAAGCTGGGAGAAATGACGGGAGCCTCGCAGACAGAAATACAGCAGGACAACACAGATACGACATTCCCAACTCCGGATTCTCGGTTCTCGAGCAGGAAGTCCAGACTGTACCCCCGCTTCCACCAAAGACACCCCAACGGCCATCATCTAATCCAGCCCCTTCTTTCGTAGATAAAGAAACCGAGGACCGAAGAGGAGACGGTGTCCCAGCGGTGACCCCGTGGGGCTCGCCCTGTCCGAACTCAACCCAGTTTGGTCGTCTCCCTACTTTACCTTGCCATCCCTCTTCTCCTCGGGAGGAAAACATCATTAACCCCACCCACACTTTTCAGATGAGGAAACTGAGGCGCAGAGAGATTAAATACCTCGCCCTAGGCTGGACCGCGAGGGAACGCTGGGGTGGCATTTTTGCAAATGGGCAAACTTTCCCTTAAAGCGTAACTACCATTTTTTTCTCGAGTTATATCTATCTCCTGTCCTTTCCACCTACTCTGTTCTCACGAAAAACAACAACAACCAGACGCAGAAGAAGGAGAAGGAGACATAAACGGAAAGGGAAATACAGACAGACGGTTTCAAGGTGCACTTGAGGGAAAGTGCGCCTCTTCACCTCTGGAACGGCCGGGGCTGTGGCAGGGACAACCTGTAAGCTTAGAAAAGGCTGGGGGATCGGTCGTTTGGTGAATCGGTTTTCAGCGATGGTGGGCGGGGGAGGGGGACTTCCAAGATGGGGGACTCCCCTGTGGTGCAGGATGAGCCAGAGGGGTGACCAGTGCCACCTGCTGTGACAGTCCAACTCAACTTGGACCAAATGGGACCAGTCGGTGTGGCAACAAGGAGGTCATAGGTGACCTGGGCTATGGTATGGAGCGGCCTGGTGGTGAGGAAACCCGTCCGTAGTGGCTTAAAAAGTGACCGAGACGACTTCACATCCAGCAGGATGGATGCCTGTAATCAAAACGTCAGACGATAACAAGTCTTGGCGAGGGCGGCGGTGACATCGGGACCCCCGTGCGTCGCTGGCGAGAATGTAAAATGGTGCAGCTGCTTTGGAAGACAGTTGGGCACTTTCTCAAAAGCCGCAAGGTAGAGTCGCCACTTAACTCAACGACTCCATTCCTGGGCGGGCACCCAGGAGGAGCGGAGACGTGTCCGCACAGCCTCATTTACAGGAACTGTAAGGTAGGGGCAGCCCAAGTGTCCATCAGCGGACGAACGGGTAAATGAATGTGGTCTCTCCACGCGGTGGAATATTACTTGGCCATGAAAAAGTGAATGACTGACACATGCTCCAATATGTGCGAACCTTGGAGACATCGTGTCAAGTGGAAGACATCGGACACGAGCAAGACATCGATTCCGTTCACTTGCAGTGTCCAGAAGAGGCAAATGTATGGAGGCAGAGAGTGGACGAGGGGTTTGTAGGCGTGGGGGAGACCAGAGGTTGAGGGGTGACAGCTGAAAGGTACAGCGTTTCTTTTTCAAGGTTCTGGAAATATTCTAAAATTGATCGTGGCGATGCTGGCATAACTATGTGAACGTCCTGAAAACCATTGATTTGTACACTGTCAAGGGGCAAATTGGATGGCATGTGAATCACATCTCAGTAAAGCTGCTACCCGCCTCCCATAAAAAAGTGACCAAGAGGTGAGGCAGTGGACACCGCCCCTGGAAAGGTGTTTGACTGCGGGGACAGAGTGAGATGGGGCAAGCGCTCCGATCGGCGAGGGAGCGGGAAGGGTTTGACACCACGCGGCTTGGGGTACCTCCGCCGTTTTGACCCCCGTCCAACGCCGCGTCTGTGTCCCATAGGTCTGCGGTATTCAGAGACCTTTACGACCGGACCTCGGCCCACGCCCAGGGAGCTCTGTACGCCTGGATGGCTGCACGTTTGCGGACGCCCTCCAACGCCACTGGTGAGCCCGGGGTTTGGGGTGGGGTCACTTTTTAGGGGGAGTCCGTCCTTAAGAAAGAGGCGCTTCATCTCCGAAGACAGGGATTTCGTTACCTGCCCCCACCCCTGACTGCCAGAAAGGGTTTGATGTGGCGGATGGGGTAAAACCCATAGCTCATTTCTTCAGTACACTTTTAAAATCTGTATTAAAACATCTGTATTAAAGTAGGACAAGATAAAAAAAATTTTTTTAAAGAAAATTTAGGCGATAAAATTTAGTGCTAAATTCCTTGCAATCAAAACAGAAATAGTCCAGGATTCATGTGTTCGACAGGTGTTTATTAAAAGCCTACGGTGTCCCAGAGCAGTCAAATTCATAGAGATGGAAGGTAGAACAGAGGTTGCCAGCCACTGAGGAGGATGCGGGAATGGTGCGTTCGTGTTTAACAGGGACAGAGTCTCAGTTTGCAAGATCAGAAGAGTTTTGGGGACCGATGATGGCGATGGTTGCACAACAATGTGAATGCGCTTAATGCCACTGAACCGTACACTCTAAAATGGTTAAGACGGTGAGTTTATGTCACGTGGATTTTACCACAATTGAAAATTAAGAGGCACGCAGAAAAAGAATAGCTATGTAGACTAATAAGGCAGTTTTTCAGGTACCTTGAACTTGTTGCATGTTTCCTGTCAGTAATGTAAACAGAATAAATTTCTTAAACACTTAAAAAAAAAAAAAAAAGCCTGCGTCTCGGCGTGCTGGGGAAACGTAAGGGGGGCCGGCGGGGGGAACGCCGATGGGTTCTTTTCCTGGAGCTCAGCCCAGGACTGGCCCGTCAGGAGCGTTTCCCGCACACCAGCCACCCAGACCCCCCTGTGCCCGGTGCGCGCCTGGTGCGTGCCTGTGGAATCCGACTCTCACGTGGTAGCCCCGAGAAAGACACGCAACCTCTCCCACGCCCCGCTACAGCCTGAGGGTCAGAACTTAACAGGAGACAGACTCTCCTTCTGACCTTCCCATGGGACGTTTCACCATGAAGCCACAGTGAATGACAGTGAATCCTGCTGGGACTTCAGACTCTCTATTTCTCGTGAAGTCCCTCGAGGTAACTGGAAGGACTTTGGGGGTTAAAACTGTCCCAAGCCTGGGGATCGCGGCTCTGAAGAAGCAGAGTTTGTGCATTAAGAATTTAAAATGAGTAACTCGATGTGGTTCTCGGTGAATTTAGTGGTTTCCAGTCTCCCACTCTCTAGCCTTCTGGGGCCGCCCTTCTTGTCACCAAGTCAGATGTCCCTTTAGCGGATCATGGGGCATTTACCTGCGCTCACCCCAAAGCTCTGGTATCTGGGTTAGGGGCGTCACCCCGTAGCTCTTGTGGCCCAGCCCACGGCTTCCTGCTCCAGCTCCTGGTGACTGAATCCCTGCGCCTTGTAAATGCTCTCGCTTCCCTCATTTCCCCCAAATGCCACCAACACAATGTTGTCACGTGTAAAAGTCTTTGGCTGAAGGTTCGGGGGCGGTGGCAGCTGACTCTAGTCAGTGAAACTTCAAGTTGGATCCTGGACATGATTTTTCTTCATGTCCCACTGATGTCCCACTGAGGGACTCTCGAATGCCCGAGCAGCGTGCCAGGCAGGGAGAGAGTCGTCTGGGGGTTCCCAGGAGGGAGGAGTCACTGCTGGGGGTTGGGGGAGGCTGGCAAAGCTTGCATTGTTTTGGAGGTGGGGTTTGGGGGCGGAGTTAGGGGAGGGGCCAGAGTATGCGAAGACTCGGGGAAGTCTGGGGCGCACGGAGGGAGGACACCTTGTCTGGTCCCGCTCCTGGACAGCACCTGCTGACGGTCAGTAAGGGCAGTGGTGACTGTACCTGGTGGTCATAACCGTGAGTCCAGTGTATCTCAAGTTGCCAGATTATTTATTAACTAAATCAGCCAAAAGCGACATTGAATTTTGTGGTCTTAAGTCTTAGAAAATAATCTGCTTTTCTAACAAGTCCCACGTGATGCTGGTGCTGCTGATCCAGGGACCACACTTTTAGGGGACAAAGCCTCAGGTGGCAGGCATCTGTGATCCCTACACGTGGCACAGCATCTCACTGGTAGGAGGCTGTCCGAGAACGGTCATTGAATGAATGAATGAATGAATGCAAGAAGGAGGTCCTGGCCTCAGAGATGCTTTTGACTGTCACATTCCAGTGCAGAGGCTTTTGTTTATTTATTGACTTATCTATCCACTTATTTATTTTCTTGCAGATGACTCTGCTTCGTGGGTCAGCGCAGAAGACTTATGGATTTTGGGCAGATATATGGTTCACCTGTCGCTTGAAGAAATTATGAAAATCAGTCCTACAGAAGTAAGTTGGAAGGGTCCATTTAATGTCCCCATTATGAATACATCTGGGCTAAGGTGTGTTCTAAGCCCCCGGTGCCCAGCCAGCCAGTCGAGCTGCCCTGAAGATCGGGCACCTACTTTGGCCTGGTGTATCTTGAGCATCTGAAGAAAACTTTTGGATTACGGCCTGGGGCGGTCCAGTCATTGAACTGTGTTCTTGGCTAGAGGAAGTAAGAAAAAAAAACAAAACTGTGGACAAACAAGACAGCTCTGATGTGAACAAACGAGATTTAAAGAGAATGTTGGCTGTGGACCAGAAATCATTTATGGGTCTTTGTACTCAAGGAAGGCCGAGGACAATAGCTCTAGGATTTTGGTCCTCGGAAGTATGAATCCAAATTGAAAGCGACATGGATTAGCAGCGGGGTCTATTGGTAGCTACTTCGGCTTGAGCGAGGCTTGCATTTTAACTGGAGTCTCCAGTGTGTGTGTTCTAAGGTTACTTAACTCGCTGGTCAGCCTGCCTCTCTCCTTCTCCCGATGTTGACCCAGTGACATAGAAATCCCTTGGGCATCCCGACTCACGAATGCTGCCCACGCGGAGGCGTTTACGGGGCGTTTGGGGCTCGCCTCCAGTTTTTATCATGTGTGCCCTGGTCAGCGGGCGTCAGATGCCTGGCTTGTTCAAACGCCAGCGGATCCAACGACGTCTAGTTATTATGAAGCCAGAGGCAACACTACGTTCCTCTTTTCACCTGGGAGGCTGGGAATATTTCAGACGTCTTCAATTTTTTAACTCTCAGTTATACGGTGCATTAAACCTCCAATGGCGTTTACGCTCCCAGTGTTGAGTTTAGGAAGGAGATAGAGGCTAAATTGTAAGGAAGCCAGGCCCCTGGGGGGAATGTCTAAGACGAGGCCATTTGCAACTTTTCCCTCATCATCTAGAAAGGTAGAGAAGTGGGGCGAAAACAGAGCACCAACGCTAAGGGAATTGTGTATGGACAAAGGGCAGTCTGGGAGGCAGAGGCGACCTCAGGCATGGAAAGGCCGTGCATCGCAATGTAGGGGACTTCCATATGACAGCCTTGGATACGCAGGCAAAAAGTGAACAAAACAGAAAGAATGTGAATATATGTACGTCTACATTCAAACTTATTAAATAGGCTATTCAGATTCTTCTTATTCCCATTCACTTTTTATCCTACAAAGAGACCACATGCTCATTTTCCATCGCCCAAAGGCCATTTATAAACTCACCCATCTATTAAACAAAACAAAACAAAACAGAACAGAAAATGTGTGCACCAAGTTCTCTGACCTCAATAGAACAAATCTTGAAATACATGTGCCAATATCAGCTTTTTAAAAAAGTTCAACTTCTCCGATATAAAAAAAATAATAACACTTTCCTAAATAAGTTAGTTCAAAGAGGAACCCACAGCAGCCATTAATGGTGACAGGCCATTAAGAAATCCATGACACCGACGCCAGGATCCCGATGTACCCCAGAGTCCGGGTTGGGGCACAGCACTGACCTCAGGGTGGGTGGCGTGGGCTCCAATTCCGGTCACTGATGCTCCCGTCCGTGTCCACCAGATGGGGCTATTCATCAGCTACGACAACGCCACGAAGCAGCTGGACACGGTGTATGACCTGACCCCGGAGCTGGCCCGGGCGTTTCTGGAGAGAATCGGGGCCTCTGACTTTGACCTGAGGAACACCTCAACCGTGCACAGGCAAGTGGGGCTCGGCCCTGGCAGCGGCACCCTAGGGCACCCCCCGCGGTGGCTTCCTCTGAGCGGCAGGCAGCGGGAAGGGAGGCGGCGGGTCCCCTGTCTCTGTGCCTGAGAGAGGTGTTTCCTCTTGTAAGAGGTTCCGAAGTGGGGGGAGGGAACACACGCATTCCCGGGGTCCCCTGTGTGCCAGGATTGCAGCTCTGAGCATGGGGATGGGGCTCCATACTCGTCCATTCCAGGGGAAGCGACAAATTCCCATTTTGTTGGGCCGAGTACTGGAATGGCTTGTGGCTCCCCGAATTTGCGGATCCCTTGTTGTCTAGATTCTCAGGTGGCTTATCTGGACCCCCCGGATGAGATCAGGCTAGAATTTAGTGATTGCGATATGACCCTCTGGGAACCATTTCCCCCAGGCGAGGGCCAGCGACTGTGCACTTGGTGACCCCAGGACGGGTCTGAATGTCCGGGGAAGGAGTGTGCCCTGGGGAGCCGTGGGGAGGCGTGGGGAGCACTCGTCTCCGTCTCCTGGGGCCTTAATGTCACTGCTTCTTCTGACATCACCAAATTCTCTTAATTTTTTATCAAAGTCACTTGCAGAGAAGGTTTTTACGTAGAACTGTTACATTCTGCCGCACATAGAACCTGCCCCCACCCCTCCTAATTTTCACCCATTGGCACGGCCCCATATTTCCATGGTTACGCAAAAAATAGCTTGGCGGTTAAGAACCTGGGACCTGGAGCCAGACTTCCAGGGTACGATCCTGGCTCTGTCACTTACAAGTCATGTGACTTGGTTACGGACCGCACCTCTCTGTGTCTCCAAGTCCTCATCTGCAAAATGGGGGGTGATAATCCCCTGCCCCATCAAGGTCCCTGTGAGGATACGGCACACCCGACCCATAGTGACTGCTCCAGAAATGGGAGTTATTCTTGACGCTGTCCTTAATATTCAGCCTTCACTTCCCCGGAGCCTTCTCGACTTGTCACACGCGTCTTCAGATCCTTCCTCTCCTGAGGACAGGTCCCCGCGTGTCGCGGTGTTTCCGAGAGGGCGGAGCCAGGTGAAGCTTGGCTGGCGGCGACGTGGTTCGGCCGAGCGTGGTTCTGCCGAGCCCAGTCGGGTAGATCCGACACCGACGCTAGAGTGTCCCCCGGGAAGTGTCCCCCGGGAAGAGTAAATAGTCGGATGTGCCTCGTCTCCTATAACTCTCAGTCCACCTTCGCCTGTTCATTACGATGTACCCTGATGAACGAAGCAAGTCTCCCCTCTACTGAAGGCCCAGGGTGGCTGGGCCACCCTGTCCCGTAGTCCAGAGTGTGCACTGCACACCTGTGTGCAGCGGCCTCGCAGAGAGAGAGTGTCCCCCGGGAAGAGTAAATAGTCGGATGTGCCTCGTCTCCTATAACTCTCAGTCCACCTTCGCCTGTTCATTACGATGTACCCTGATGAACGAAGCAAGTCCCCCCTCTACTGAAGGCCCAGGGTGGCTGGGCCACCCTGTCCCGTAGTCCAGAGTGTGCACTGCACACCTGTGTGCAGCGGCCTCGCAGAGAAGGTGTCACTGAGGTCAGACATCTCACAGAGCCGGGCCTCGAACCCCGGGCGGCCGGAAGCTGCGCCCTCAACCGCCAGGTGTGGCTTTCCCAGCCGGGTCCGGGTTCAAATCCCACCTCCACCCTCATGCCCTATCTTTTTTACTTTTTCCTTTCGAAGTCATCCAGCCATCTGGGGAGGTAGGCTGGAAAGCATCCTGGAATTCAGTCTCCGTCCCTGGGGACCCCTCGGGGCGACAGCCCCCTTCCCTCCCGTGGAAACTGGGAGTTTTCTGTGGCTAGCTCAGCACCATGCTTTCCTCGGGCCCCTTGCTGGAGGCGAGGTGACATAGTCGGCTCTAGATCGTAGCCCCAGCTCCACTGCTTGTCTTGGGTGTGTCACTTGATGTCCCCGAGTCTCACTGTGCCCTGCTGCGAAATGGGGCTGACAGGTCACCTGCCCGGCAGGGCGGTGGCGAAGGGCTCAGCGCAGCACCTGGCGCCCGGCAGCTGCTCTGACCCCCGACTCCGTCGGTTCCGAGGGGGCGGCGCTGTGTCCCCCAGCTCCGCCAGGGTCCCTTACCTTCCCGCACAGGCTGGGGCTGCTGGTTTGTTTCTACGATGACCTGGAGCTGCTGGACGCCGCCACGGCCCGAGTCCTCCTTCACCAGATGATCAAGTGCAGCCGTCTGTGGGGCTTCCAGGCGGCGGTCCGGAAGGTGTGGGCGGGTGCGCAGCCCCCGCTTCACCAGCCGGAGAAGTGGGGGGACACCTCGGTCCGGCCGTAGCAGGTGGTGTCTGGAGCCCCAGGATGAGCGTAAAAGGGGGGAGGGGGGAGCAGCTCAGCGCGG